CTGTCAGTATGTAAGGTTTTAAGAGGTTATTCCAGTGTTCAATTGTGTGATACAGCATGAAAAAAAAACCAGTTATCCAGGTGATCAGATGTAGAGAACTGAGTGAGAATGTAGCTGAAGCAGTAACCAATAGGAAAGAGGAGCCTTTGATCTCCAAATCTAAGAGCATGAAGAAAGAAAGACTGAAAATCCATTTCTAGAGAGACATGGCCAAGGTGACTCTAAGGAAACTAGACACTCAGATAAGACAACTTGACCCAGACACTTTTTTTCCATCATGGGCCCAATGTTTCATTATAACCTTAGAAATCAGTAGAAAACTAAGGAAGAGGAAGAGGAGTCAAAAAGAGAGAAAGGAGATCTTCAGCACTGACTTGATATCTGATATTTTGTGATATTTCTTAGAATCAGAGACTTAATATATTATCCAACACTGCTCTCAAGACTCATTCTCATATGACTCCAAAATGTCTCTTGAGCTAAGTCTAGGTGCATTATTCTCAGGTGGTTGGATGATACCCTAGTTTGTGATAAGACATTCCTCTTATTACTTGAGGAGGGAAGGTTTATCTCATCTTAACAGCCTAAAACTCAACATGAAAGAAATTCAGGGCAGGAACTCAAGTTAGGAACCTGGAGGCAGAAACTGAAGCAGGGGCCATGGAGGAATGCTGCTTACTGGCTTGCTCAGCTTGCTTCCTTGTCTAGGACAGGACCACTTTTCAGAAAGTGACAATTTTGCCATTGGGCTGGGCCCTCTCACATCAATGGTTAATCAAGAAAATGCTCTATAGAATTGCCTACAGGCCAGTCAGAAGGAAGCATTTTCTCAATTGAGGTTTCCTCTTCCAAGATAACTCTTGACTTGGGTCAAGGTGACAAAAAAACAAACTAACTGACTAACTAACTAACTAACTAACTAAAATAACTAACATGAATAACATGAACAACTGGTAATCTCATGTTATGTGGCTTTCTTCCAAATTGGAACATTTCCTCCATGAAGAAAGGAAGAAAGTTCATGAAGCCAATGAAGTCAACACATTGTACAAGGCTTAGAAAGCTCTCAAAACTCATCTCTCCTCCCCAAGATTAAAAAACAGTCAAAAGTTGCTGGGGAGAGAAGACTGTCAGGTTGAGCTGACAAAATGTTGTTCAGGAGCTCTAAGGATGCACACTTTGTAGTGATCCAGCTGTTTGAGGGTCATCCATATTCCTGTAAGTAACGTCTCACCTATGTGCCAGTAAGTAACCCCAATAAATAGTGATCGTTTCTTTGGTTTGTCTTTGGTGGTCTATGTGAGGTGCTTATGTGTTTGTTTCCATCTCTTAGGAAAAACCATGCAGTGTTCCAGAACAAGCTGATATGGGACCAATTTGAACTGGACAGATTCTCATCTCTTAAGGTACCAAGAAAAAGAAACCTTCCAGTGACCATAGCACCAAAGACACCAAGAGTCATGTCAAGAACCATTGCTCCTTTCTTGTTTAGTACATGCAGAATCTACTTATGACACTAAGAAGATTGCATTACCATCTCAGGGGAGGAAATCAAAGAGTATGTTCGATATAGTTTATCTTAGTTATTCTTTGCTGTTTACTGAATTGAAGAGCCAAGAATATGACTTTTTTGTCTCTGAATTTTGTCTTCATCAATATTGTGGAGACTCATGTTTATGACCTGAATAAGAGAATTGGAGTGAAAAATCAAACTAGTACCATGAAGAGATACATTGGTCAGAATTTGACAAAATCATGCTCATCTTATCAGTCACTGAGAAATGTAATTAACTCAGCTACAAGGATGTAAATCTCATGTTGTTTGTCCTAAAGACTGACAAAGCAAAGGCAGAAAGTATAACATTGTCCCTGGCCATGGTGTCCTTTCCTCCACCACCAGTTCACTCAGAAGACTAAGGTATGCATAGAATTCCAGCTCAGTGAGCTTGCTCCCATCTTCAGGCTCTTATATCTCATTTATCTGACTCATTGGAGACTTCACACTTCAGTATGATATTCTCTGCTCTGACACCTTCTCTAAAGGGTTTTCCTGTCTTTCTATTTTAAATTATTCCCCAAATGTTCCAATGTACACAATTAGTTTTTTTATTTTCTACCTAGCATCTATCATCATTAAAAATTCACTTCTTTATCAACAATCTATTGATATCTGTCTATATCTATTATCTATTTATCTATTATCTATTGGTCTTACTATGTCTGCCTTCCTACTTATCTTCTATCATCTATCTATTTCCATCATCTCTATCTGACCTATCATCTGTGGATCTATGCATCTAGTTATTGTGTAGCTATTATTTTCAACTATATCTACCTACCTGTCATTTGTAACTATCATATCATTTCTCTATCATCTATCTATCTATCTATCTATCTATCTATCTATCTATCTATCTATCTATCTATCTATCTATCTATCTCTATCTATCCATCTATCAATCATCTATCCACCCTATATCACATATCTAACTTTCATTTATCTAGCTACCCATCTAATCTAACAATTATGTTTCTCTATGTAAAATATCCCTACTAGAATTTCTAAGAAGCAAGGGTCTTTTCTGTTCTATTCTCAACTCAGCATTCATAACAGTATAACTACTATATAGTAGCTGGTCATGAACAAATACATACATTAAGGAGATTTGGGAGGAGAGGGTTCAGGGTATTGTTATTTGTTCCTGATTTCCTTGCTAATAACCAATGATTCCCATGCAACCCTCAAAACTAAGGAGTGAAACCTTCATCTAAGATAATTTTGTTCACTGTTTAATGAAATTGTGCTGGGATTGTAGTAAGCTTATACATAATTTTTAAACATTGCAAACTATATGAGTTTTCTTTTTCTTTTTTTCTTAATTAGGTCAGCCCTTCCACAAATTAAGATGAACTATTACGTTTTTAAGAATGTAATGATGTATGATTCACCAAATATCTCAGACCCTTTTTCTTTGTTAAATAAAATCTAAAGGAAATAACTAATTAGTCAATTTGAATGATTTCCAAATAACATCACCAGTCTGTGTTTGTCTACACTATCAAGGTGAATAATTCATTAGCATTTATGAGAAGTGCCTGGAGAACACTAGCAGTGGGAGTAAAACAACCTGGAATGGTTTTTAAATGACCTTCCAAACAGCTTAGATTAACACGGGCATTATTCTCCCTGTACAAATCAAGTTAGAATTTTCCATGTGTCAGGTCTCAGAAGAAGGCCATGAAGAGGGCTGCTCACAGAGGAAGTGACCTTCTGCCTAATTTAGCAATTAGATTCTGCTTTTTTCCGTGTGTGTGTGTGTGTGTGTGTGTGTGTGTGTGTGTGTGTGTGTGTGCGCACTCATGAGTGTTTGAGTGTGTGTGATTGTGTGCATGCCTATCTGTCTATGTGAGAGTCAGAGACAGAAACAGGAAGGCAGGAGGACAAGACAGTAAGAGTGAAGTCAAATGGGACACAGGAAAGAAATAAGACAGGCCTGAGAGAGAAAGAGATCAAAAGAAGAGGAGACATGGGCTACATTAAGGGTAGAAGGGGGAAGGCCAGAAGAAACAGAAACAGATGTGAGAAGGCAAGAGGAAGAAAAGGACAGAGGGAGGGGGGAAGGAAGTCACTGGTGACAGAAATGACAGCTTCTCCCTTGAGTTGGCACACCAGGTTGCCAAGCTCCCAGGAGTTCTCCCAGGTGTGCAGGGTCACCTGACTTACTGCTGATTAAAAGTGTAAATTGCAACACAAAGGGGTAAAAAAAAAGTAATTGTCACGTTGTTTCTCTCCTGTGAGGTCACACTCTCTGGCTGTAGCTGAGCCTGCTGATAGGCACACCCCTCTTGTTTAATAAAATTGTATTAACTTTATCCCTGCCCTTGATTTGTGGCTTTCTCACGTTGTGAGGAATAAATAATAAATGATTGTAAAGTACTTGTACATATGAAATGCCACATAAATGCTTAATAATAATCAGCTTAGTCCAGGAAGCCAGGGGGCTTGAATAGAAATCATTGTATACGCCCATTCCTGTTTATGTGGCTAAAATCATCATCCTGTATGCCATGTCTCCTTCCAGAAGATTTAATTGTCGCTTATTCAGGAATCCACTTCTCTGCAAACTAAACAACCTTTGTTCCTTCTTCCCCACAGTACTGTGACTCTGATAGCAGAACATAACTGCAAAGATTCTGCCTTTGCTCTCTAGCTTCAGCTATTTTTCCAGAAGTCCTACATTGATCTCAGTTCCTCCAAAACCCTACATATCTGATTTTCAGAATCTTCATCCCAGGAATGCTTATTCCCCTCTGGTTACTTTTGAGGAAATATCTGCCACCTAGTCTTGGGTTTCCTTCAGTTTAGTTCGCGATGAAAGCCAGGTGGCTGAGTTGGCCTTTCCCCCATCATCTTCATTTCTGCATTTCTTGAACCGTTCATTCAGCAGCTGGGGATGGAAGGTTGTGCTAAGTGCAGAGATGCAATAGAGCTCAAGACTCTGTGAGTTTGCACCCCAAGACAAACAGATTAGTCCTGTTCAATGCATATAACTCCACAACCAGGGTAAGGTGGCTATCTTTAGGAAGGTAAGGAATGTAAGAGGCAGGAAGTACGATGTTTTGCCAGGGTCTGGCCTACTTTATTTTTTCTTAAGTGTCTGTGTATATTCAATTTAATTTAGCTCAAATTCTCGTAACTTGACTTGTGACACAGGTAAGGAAAGGACTCAGTCTCAGAAAAACATTCCACAAGACCCTCAGCTTGCCGTGTGATGGTAGAAGGAGACCTTTTGCTACTTCTGTCTGCCAGAGTCTGAGCTTCGGGTTGGCAAGCATCAGACACTTGCTGATACAACTGATCATGTGGACTTGGAGAGTGTAATTTCAAAAGAAAGATGTTTGTTAGTGTATTTAATGGCAAAATAACTTTTGCTTTTTTTAGGGAAAATAGTGAAAATTAATAAAACAGACAAATGAGAAAACCATTTACAGTGGCCATTAAAAATATGGAAAGCTTCAAGAATTTGCATGTCGTTCTTGAGCAGGGACCATGCTGGTCTTCTCTGTATCGTTCCAATTTTAGTATATGTGCTGGCAAAGTGAGCACTGCAGTGACCATTTTTATTACAATATATATCACTTCATGTTGTTTCTCATTGTTTATATCATATATAGATGTGACTTAAGGCATGTGTCCCCTAAATCCTTAGTGTTACATTCCTCATGAATGTGGTATTATTTTATGTTCTCTACTCATATCTATTGGTTTATAAGTTTTATTTTGATAAAAATATCAAATATATAATTTTTATAAAATGATTTTATCACACTCTAGTGATGGTTTCATATTTTATTATGTATATGAATTATTTCAAATATTTACATATATATATATAAATTGCCAAAATAAACCTCCTCATGGGAGAGTTGCTGGGTAGAGTTATTACCTAGATTAAGGCTTTTGTTGCCTTACCAAGCAGCACTGATGGGGATTGGATTGGTTTGCATTCTTATCTCTGGTGTGTCAGACCTCTTCCGATACCCCTACTCCTTCTGATGCCCCATACACCTCTTAGTCAAATGAATTACTCTCAAGAAAGATGTACTGAAATGCATCGCTTTAACATTTTCCTCTTCTTTTCCATTTCTTCCCTCATGGCACAAGAATTAGTGAGCCTTGGGTTTTCCAACAGGTGGAGAAGGCTGAAGGGTGGATAATTGCTTTTGGTGTAACCATCAACATCCACGTTTAGTTTTTCCTGCTCCACTTCCTCCAATTCAATTAGCCTGTTCTTACCAGGGGGAGAGTTTTCAAAGCATCAGATGAGGTGCTACCTCATGATTAATAATTCATGACAAGAAATGAGGATTGGGAAAGGTAATAATGTCCTCCAAGCTGTTTTCTCTACCACTCTGTCGTTCTTATTTGCATTAAATGCTCTGTCTCAATCGATAAAGTAAACATGCATAGTTACACTGCCCCATAAACCAAAGATCCAAAACAGGTATTTGTAAGCTTTCTGAAGTCCTAAGTTCCTTCAAGAATCTTGCAGAAGGATATAGACTCTCTCTTAATGGCAAGACTTGAGCTAGTAGCATGCACAACCCAGAACAAGCCCCCAAAGAAATTCAAAGTAAGTCAGATAAGACATTGGACATCTATGGACTCAGTCTTCTGCACCCAAATTCCCTATGAAATAAAGAAATTTCTTCCAAAGTGGTGTAATTATTTAGTCTTTTGTAAGTGGAAACGTGAAGATGGTTAATATAAGAACACTGTGATTTGGAAAAATGAATAAATTATAGGACAAATAAATTACAGGTGTTGAGGCATGGTTGATGGTGGAATTTATTTTGCAAAGCTACAGTCAAGGATGCATATTTTTTTCTTGCCAAATACTATCAGCCATAAAATGTCTTCGGCACCAGTCACACCCACTGCTTCATGCTCTGTTACTTGGCATTCTTTTAAGTTCTTCCTCAATTGTCATATCTCCACAGGCCATAACAGGGGACAACAGTCAGCAGCAATTCAATTTCAGCCTCCATCTGCTGGCAATAAGAACATAAGGGGGAAATTAATGTACACTCACACACTTGTCATTATAACATCCCAAATTTGTTTTTATAGTAGGGCTTTTCTCCAAGGAAATTAAAAATATATATATTCTCAAATTTCTGATCAACAACTCACCTTGTATATGACTAAAATTATCTCTGTTTTGAAGATGTAGAGATGCTGAAAACATCCAGTCAAGGCAACAAAGCATTTCCTGGTGCAATGTAAGTATTAGGAATCCTCTCTGGAAAGCATAGTGGTATTTATTAAAAGGCTGATAGTCAACATCCTAGCCAGAAAGCAGGCTATATAACAGATCACCATGTTATAAAAACATACAATGAAATATTTGCTCTTTTACCCAGAACAGCATCTCTTTATTTTTCTTCATGTATGTAATTCTCCTCTCCTAAGCACAATACCTATAATCTCCCCAACCAGCCTTGTGATTGTGAGAAAGTTGGTTAAATTTACTTGCCTCTACTTCTTCCTCTGTGAAACAGAAATAAAGATAAAAGATCACTCACAGATTTGCTCTGAGAATTAACCAAAAAGTTCTTAGAAGACTCCATAACATACAGAGTGGTCATAATCTAGATGTTTTAGCTATCATGAATGTTTGCTAAATATTATCATTAGTAAGATCAACATTATCATTACTTATGGCAGCTTAAGTTTAGAAGAGATATTTGAGACTCACCATTTCATTTCTCTCTCTCTCTGTCTCTCTCTGTCTCTCTGTCTCTCTCTCTGTCTCTCTCTCTCTCTCTGTCTCTCTCTCTCTCTCTGTGTGTGTGTGTGTACACTTCTGGATGTGCCTTATGCATGGATATGGAGACCAATGGTGAGTAAGCCTCTGGTCATTTCCACATATATCATCCATTTTGTTCTCATTGGCCTGGAACTCACTGATTCAAGTATACTGGCAGCTAGCAAACTCCAGAGATCTGCTGTCTCCTCTTCCTCAGCTCTCTGGTTTCAAATGCATGTCATTGTCCCCTGTAGCTTGAGTTTTCTCCAGTCTCACTTGGGCCTGCAGCTGCTCAGACCCAAATAAGCACACAGAGACTTATATTACTTTTAAATTGTATGGCTGTGGCAGGCTTCTTGCTATCTAGTTCATTTATCTTAAATTAACCCATTTCTATTAATCTATAAGTTGCCATGTGGCTTGTAGCTTACCTGTACTTTTACATCTCGCTTCTCATGGTGGCAGCAGTGTCTCCTAACTCAGCCTTCCACTTCCCAGAATTCTCCTTTCTGCTTATCCCGCCTATACTATACTTCCTGCCTGGCTACTGGCCATTCAGTGTTTTATTTATCAATCAATCAGAGCAACACATTGACAGCATACAGAAAGACATCACCATCAGTCCCCAGCTTTTTTATGTGATTTCAGGGAATCAAGCTCAGGTCCCCATTGAGTTTTCAATACTTTGCTGATTGAGTTTTCACCCTAGCTCTGTTTATATTTTTGGAGCAATAATTTTTGCTCCAGCTAGAAGGGTAAAGGAATCATTAAATCACTAGTGAATACTAATGATCCATATTTACCTGGGGTTTATAGACCTTTTCCTTCAGTGTGTTTACTAATATGCCCCCAATCTTTAAAGGAAACACAAGTCATAAAATAAGCTTGCGCCATTTCATAACTATTCTCCATATAATCAAAGAGTTTAAGGCCCTGAATTGAAAATGGAAATCTGTCAATCTATTATTTTCTTTCCATTCTCAAATCAATATCCTTTCTTTAAAGAGATATTAGATCTAAAGCTGACTTTGCTTCATGAAAATAGCATACTTAGGGTTGAGGTAATTATACAAATAAGCACATATCTTCATATGCATACAATAATAACAACAGTTTATTTCTGATGGCTTGTATTGTGCTCTCTGGAGAAGATTTTATGACAGATTTCTGATGAGCAATCCTATAAAAAGCAATTATGAACCAATTATCCATAGGACAATCTTGAAAAGCCTACTTGTGTTCATTCCTAATCAAGATGCAAAGAACTTTTGAAAGAGAAGAAGTGTGCATATTATGCAGACAAATAGTATACATAGCATGCTGTACTGTCAAGGAGACATGGTCTGTCACAGTTTTCAGGTTGATCTTTATTCTCCAGCTCAGACTGACAGCTGTGATGCAATGTGATTTAACAGGAGGGTCAAGAAGATCTCTTTTCAGTATGTAAATGCACCTTGATGTCAACAGATGTGACCAAGAGGAAAGAGGCCAGAATTTCAAAAGCAACACAAGAGTGCCGCAGGATGCTCCCAAAACAAAGCCCAATTTGGAGAAGCCCAGATCCTCTATTAATCTCTTATTTAGCAATTGTATTTGAAAATGTCTTTCTTCCAAGAATCTAAGGCTGCTACTAGAGAGAAACTACATATTTGTAATCGGTCAAATCCTATACTTGCTGTGAACTTGGACTCTGCAGGGAGTCAGAGTGTATAAAAATTAAAGAACAGGCATGAGCATGAGGACGGAAACTGTCCACAAACACTGCTGGTGAGAACCATACACACAAAGATCAACCAACCAGGATGGCTCCAGTTAGTCTCTGCAAGCATTATTCTTAGCTTGGAACTAGTTATGATTTTATCAATACCTCAATTTCAAGACAAAAGGCAGAATTGTTAAGTTATATAATTTCATGAACTGAGAGAGAATATTTTTGAAGAAGAGAGTTCAGTATGGATGGAAGTATAGATCTAAGAATGGAGGGGTAGAAACTGAACATGGGCAAATACTGATAGCACTGATGACTCAGGAATCTGAGACAGGAGGATTGCTTGTGTTTGCCACTTTAAGACAGCCCAGGCAGCACTGTGAGATTCCCATATGAGGGAGAAAAAATTAGACTATCTTGAGATAATAATTAGCTTTCTAATGGAAAAGAAACTGACATACTAAATGAATATAATTTAGGAGAGTTGAAGAGTGGAAATATTTACAAAGACGAGGGTAAGGTTTAAGGAAACTACAAAGGATATTGTTAAATATCCTAAGGAATAATAAGTACTAATTAATGATGAGACTTTCCTTTGCATGTGAAGGAGGGAGAAGAGGAAGTGACTGTTAGTTGTAACAGGAATCTTAGAGAGTCTTATTAATAAAATCAAACCCGGGGCCAGGTATTGGGGTGAAATGCTGGATGGTCAGAGAGACAGAACAAGCCATAGCTAACCTCACCTGGCCAACTTCTCAGCTGATCTTGTTTCCTCAGACTGGAAGCCTCTGTGTCCTCATATCTGAATGGCTCTCAGCTGAACTGTGCTGCTAGAAGTCTGAAAGCTTAACCAGCCAAATGCTTCTAGTTTCTGGTCCTCACGCCTTATATACCTTTCTACTGTCCACCACCACACCCTGGGATTAAAGGCTCACTTTCTGGGATTAAACATGTGAGTCACCATGCTTGGTTGTATCCTTGAACATATGAATTTCTGCCTAGCTCTGCCTCCCAAGTGCTGGGATTAAAGGCGTGTGCTACCACAGCCGATCCTCTATGTTTAATATTGTGGTTGTTCTGTCTCTGACCCCAGATAAGTTTATTAGGGGGCACAATATTTTGGGGAACACAATACCACCACAGTTAGTAAAACAGGAAGACTAGACAGGGAGAGCACTGAACCACAGACATTCACAGGGAAAAGACAGAGAGAACCAACATGCTAATCACGTTGTTGTATCCTCTCCTGATTTGCAAGCATGCTTAATGATACTGACGGTATCTCAAGGTTGGAGAAAGCCTACAATGGCCAACATCTCCTGTGTCTCTGTCAGCTGAACTAACAGCTTTATCTTTAAGAGAGAAATTTAAAAAATAAAAATGGACATGGCAAGATGGGGCTTCCAACAGACTGGATTTTATCCACAAATTTATTTTGTCGATTTCTACTCTGCCTTGTAAGGACCAAACATTTGGGAATTATTGTGTTTATTTCTCTCCTTAATTTAAAAACACAGGTTGTATCAATGGTTCTCATGTTTGAAAACTTCAATTTGTATTCTTATAATATACACCAATAGCTACAGTTATTATCAGAATTTATATCAATAAAGCTTTTCAGTGCTGATATATCATCTTGAAACCTCAATCACTATGAAAGTAAAATTTGACAGGAATTCCCCAAATTTCTTTTATTTTTTCTTTTTTTTTTTTTTTTGAGACAGGGTTTCTCTGTGTAGCTTTGCGCCTTTCCTAGAACTCACTTGGTAGCCCAGGCTGGCCTCACAAAGATCCACCTGCCTCTGCCTCCCGAGTGCTGGGATTAAAGGCGTGCGCCACCACCGCCCGGCCGGAATTCCCCAAATTTCTGAAGATCTTAGGAAGATGATCAATTGAAATAGGATGGAGAAAAACTAGAAATTTTATTTACATTTATCTTGCAGCACATTTGTTTTAAGTTTCTATTTAAAAATGTTTTATGATAGACCTCAATATTATTATATTGAATCTATATTACATGGATTGAACATATTTACAAATTAAATAACTATTCAATTTATTGGAAGGTAGTATTGGTGAAGTGAGGTTTGTCAAAACTCCATCTTTTCCCTAAAATGAATAAGAACACTGCTAAGCAGTTGCCAGTCATCTTTTTAAGTGCTCTAGAAATTAACCAAATGCTCCTAGTATCTAGAAAGGGTGTATTCAGGAAATTTGGTTGACTTTCAATAGTGTCACTCAACTTTGTAATATTTAGGCTTGACTCTAGTCCTGCATCATTCTTCCTATCACTAAAGTGCTGAAAACCAAGAGGTTTTAACGGGGTGCTAAATATGAACCACAGTGATGGAGAAGCCATTGGAAGGTGGAGAGCATTTGGAATTTCCACCAACGTCCTATTCCTGTAGAACTGTCACCATCAGAACTGCCTTGGAGTCACTTGGAAAAGGCCTATCCTCAGAACCTTTATGTGATGACTTAAATATGAAGGAGTAAAACAAGTTGTACATCTGGGCATCTATATATCCCTCCTCACAACAGAGTTAAAGGGAATTGATAAACATCTTATCTGATTAGGGTGTTCAGGTCACTTGGAATAATCACAAAGCCCCAAAATTAAAAAGAAAATTCTGGGTCCTTCATAGAGGAATTTGTACAGTTCTTACATATTCCTGGGAAACCCAGAAAGTCACTTGCATGGGCAAAGCTGTGTAAATGTTAAGAAAAATCTTAAGTCCTGTCTATTCTTATCCATGTCAGGTGAGACTTGAGATTCTGTGTAATC